GTTATAGGTGAAATACTGCCAACATCAATTCTACAAAAAGTTGCATCTCACTTCAATAATGATTTGGTCTAAAATACTATTTGTGCACGCACCGTTTCAAGATTTAAAAATAGTTGTATTCGATCATCCTCGACATGCGCTATCTTTTGAATATAGATTGGTTGCTTACCCGGAATTAGTGAAAACCGATCATGTCCTTTGTTTTACATCAAATTTCTATTTTTTCAACTTCCTCTCTCGCTCGTCTCAAACCTCCATCGTTCTTAATAGGTACGACGATGAAAATATCGTCTGCGAAGAGAAATGATAGTGGATGAATGTAGAACTTCTGGCAGTTCATTGAAAAATAACAAAAAGAATAAAGGCCCGATGTTTGATCCTTGGGAATGACAGGAGTGACAATAATTGGATCTGACAACGTATTGTTTACTCTCACTTGCTGTGTGCGATTTGAGAGATTCAAACCATATTCATAAATTTCCTGTAATTCTAGCGTTTTCAACTTATTCAAAAGAATTTGATGATTTACTCGATCAAACGTCAAAAGAAACTCGCGTTTTTCATGTCAAAAGAAACTCGCGTTTTTCATGTCAAAAGAAACTCGTGTTGCTTTAATGTTATTGTCCATCAGCGAACTAATATGATGTGTGAGATATCTAAGAGCGTCTACTGTTGACAACTTTGGTCGAAAACCAAAGTCGTTCCAATATCTTGCTTATATCTGAAAGCAAGATAATTGGACGATAATTTTCGACAAGATTCTCTCATATAATGTAAAGATAAAAGCATTGCTATTACATAACATATTTCATAATCAATCATGTTGTGAAAAATCACCAAAAGATGTAAGCAGAAGATGTATATTGCATATAGCTAGGCATGCATCGAGTAATTGACTAAGGATTTTATATTTTTTCCAAAACTCGGCGTTTCGTAAATTGCTTCGTTAAAAATTTTCTGACTCGGTAAGAATGTAGAGCAAACATTTCTCTAAAATATGAGAGATTCGACGTCTCTGTATCTTTTTTATGAGATTTTGGCAGCAATACCTCCATAAGTGACTAATCGAGTACTCGATACTCGTTTACTGCTCGATTATGTGTTCTAGACGTATCGCTTCCGAAATCTCAAAACAAATCATACAAAGACGTCCAACCTCTCATATTTTAGAGAAATGTTTGCTCTACATCCTTACCGAGTCAGAATATTTTTAACAAAGCAATTTACGAAACGCCAGGTTTTGGAAAAAATATAAAATTCTTAGTCAATTACTCGGTGCATGCTTGCATGTATCAGGGTTCATTGTCATATAATGTGAAATAATTTGGTTCATTAGAAATTTCAGTTTTGTGCCCTTAACACCGCTACAGAGATATTTATTCACAGCATTTACCGTGCTGCAAACTTGATGTCAAAGACAAGCTTTATATTGTGCAACAAGATCTTGGCTCTAGAGTTAAAGAACTGAGGTGTATTTATCCATTATAATGTTTTCAACATTGTTATTACTCTATTTGATTAACTCACATAACTACAAGCACTTTTCAAGTCAGTTCGATAAGCATGGGTGCATTTAGCATAACCAGTCAGCTGCTGGACATTTGTCCGAACATTGTCCATACCTAGAATAAACAAGATAAAACATATTAGGACTTGTTAACAATCAGAGGTTTGTTCTTACCATTTTGATCGGTAATAGCAATGTAAACCTGGAGCACAGGTTCTAAGACCGACGTAACCTTCGCCACCACACTGTTCACCTATTGGGACCGTTTGTATTTCGCAAGCCCAACCCGGTGGGCATGATGGTCGACATTCCGAAACAAGATCATTTGTTCGGAAACAGGCAGTACCCGGAGCACAAACAGAGCCATTAACAATATTACATTGACTATAAGCCGGAACGACTAGAGGAGCTGCAGTAATAATGGGTGCTGGTGTTGTCGTCGGAAATAGTCCAGTGCAAATCCAGTCTAGAAAAAATAAATAAGTTAACATTTCTTTATTGGTATATAATCAATCGAATTACCTGCAGGACAGTCATTGACAGGTCTGCACTAAAAAGATATTTTAATATTAATAAGCTAATATGTGGTATTAAAATTATATTAAATACTAACCTGTGAATACCAAACAGTACGTGCATAACAAACATATCCAGCTGGACATACGGATGGGCCTCTCCAACCATCACCTCCACATTGGTCCCAGCCAGCAGCAATTACGCCTGAAACATACGGTTGTGTCTCACATTCCCAACCGACATTTAGTGGACACGAATATTGACAGCTTGAAAAAAATTTATTACGACGAAAACACGTAAGACCTGCATCACATGGAAATGTACCATAACCTTCGCCTGCACACTAAAACAGAACTTACCGTAATTCTATCATATGCTATTCATTTTTAAAGAATTTTTCATACCTGATCATATATCTTTACCGAACTAATTCCACCAAAAAGGCAGAAACATACAACAACAAGACAAACTGGAAACATTTTCTGTTGATATATGCAGACGACGAATTTTTAATCATACACACCCTAATATTTCCATGTTATCAACCTATTTATATAGCAATAATGACTACAGAAAGTATTTTGAAATTTGATCCGTGTTTTTACAGTAGTATTTGTTGATTTTGATTCTTTATTAACAATATTTGCAAATTTAAAAAGCAAGAATTAAAATAGGATACTTTCAAGATTTAAAACTCAGATTTCTATTTATTTTTTCTCGCTCTGACCTTTCAAGAAACATTCAAAAAACGAACTTAACCCTCTGAGTGACAAAATTTTTTTATTGAATCAAATTTGATGAAATGGTATAAACTAAGCCTCCCTTTAACGGATTTTCTTTTTTAACTATTTGAATACGTTATCTGTGTCTATATAGTGGTTTGTCTGATTTAGTGTAGATATGGTGAGATACTTTATTTAATAAATAGTTCATACCAACTATGTATAGTTGGTATGATATAGTTAAACACACTTCATACGGGATTGATTGGACTGATGCAAGAGAATGGAGACATAACAATATATCACAAAAATTATGCATTTTGTTGCCATTTGGCAGCTCGTGCACAAAATTTCTTTTATTAAAAGTTTCTACTATCGGCGCCAAAACAATGTGCATGTGGCTGTTTTTTGAATAACTTTTGATAGGAATGAGAAAAAGATCTGCGATTTTCGCTGTTCGATAGCCAAGACTTGAGCGGAACTTTTCACAAGCCATGGAATATGATAATCGACTACGCTGAGCATAGTGGCAACGTTTGTTTTTGTTTAGACATGAATATAATTTCGCCAGAGGCATTTTTGTGAAAAATCGGTTTTGCGCCTGTTACTAGCAAAAATTAAAATCCTTATATCTCGATCAAATCTCATGCTGACTCAAGAAAATTTTCAGGACAGCTCATAAAGCATAATCGAAGACGACTGCTGGACCACTTTTTCGGCGTGATCAACAATATATGGTACCTTTTAAGTCTTTCTTAAAAGGTTCCTTGAGTCTGCATGAGATTTGATCGAGATATAAGGATTTTAATTTTTGCTAGTAACAGGCGAAAAACCGATTTTTCACAAAAATGCCTCTGGCGAAATTATATTCATGTCTACACAAAAACAAACGTTGCCACTATGCTCAGCGTAGTCGATTATCATATTCCATGGCATTTCGAGATTCCCAGAGATGTTTGCTCGGAGATAGACACGTATTCGGGAAAGCGAACCCTGTCCGAACGACGATAGCTGGAGGGCCGGGACTTGCATTATATTGTAGAGTAACTTCCAGAGTATCTATGCACGCAAAAAGATTATCAACATTGTACGTTACTTTTCTGAGAACGGAGCTGGTTTTCCAAAGATCCTCTGGAAACTTGGTCTTTGAAATTTTTTCAAAAGTTGTTTCCGTTTGTGAAAAGTTCCGCTCAAGTCTTGGCTATCGAACAGCGAAAATCGCAGATCTTTTTCTCATTCCTATCAAAAGTTATTCAAAAAACAGCCACGTGCACATTGTTTACTTCCATAGTCTCTAGACTAACGTTTTCTACATTGAGTATTTATTTAACGATACATAACCAAACACAAAAAATTAATTCATCAAGACTATCTATTATCCCCAGTTCGATTTTGGCTATTGTAAATCAGTTTGCAATAATACTAAGCGTTTTATTTATCGAATCAATAGCTTTACTATTAACTTCAGATGTACCAAGAAGCACTAGAAAATTTTTCGAAAAATCGATGTCACGGTGGTCATGAAAAATTGCTTAACTGATTGTACATGAGAAAATGCCAGTTGACTGTTGATATTTTGTCGTATAAGTAACTAGATGGAAGATAAGCTCTTGAGGAAATTATTTCTTTTAAATCTATGTCATTACTGCATGAGAACCACATTTTCCAAAAAAGTATTTTTATTCAACTGCTCTCATATGAACACTAACGACCGTGCTTTTCGCTCTTATTAACTGTTCAGGTTGAAAAAATGGCGAAAATTCAAATATAAACTTAAGGAAATTTCCGAGTCGAAGAAAACCTTATCTCTACAAACTCCAACTATACACGCTCCAATTAAGAAAAAATACGTCAATTGTTTTTGATTCATGCTTATCAAGTTAAGTTAATATTGGCGAGAAATCCCGTGCTTGAGATACTTATGCGGATCAAAGAATTAAGCTAGACGAATCATTACTAGTAATATCAGTAGTATGTGGTATACAACAGCCGAATGTCGTCTTTCCACTGCCTATCACCTGTTGACATGTTCTCCAAAAATGCAGTGCAGTTAACTGAGAGGTTTAAAAATTCAAATGTAGGGCTTAATATTCATTTCTGAACTAAATCCCATGTTTTATAAAGATTCTCAGGCAAACCCATTCGCGCCCAATATCGGTGCGCATGTGTGCACGACCAGTACCGATAAACATTTTGGCGTGGAAACGAATACAGTAGTTGCTGGTACTATAAAGATTCACATGCTGAAAGAAATCTTTCATAGTCAATCTTTTTTTTGCCACGTTTAATTTATCCGTGCGGCGTCTAATCTTTTATCTCGCAAGTGGACAAAGTAACTTATTTTTTCTTTTTTTGTTATTTACCCCATAGGATTTTTCATCTTCTCTACTTACTTTCTTTTTCTTGATTTGCCCACTATACACATGCACACATAACTTGTTTATGACTGAGATAGCTGTTGAGATAGTTTTTCTTTAGTAGTCTTGTTTCTACACTACAAATAACTGTACTTATTAGTTAATTATTGTTCAGTTAATATATAGAGAAATCTATTTTTACCTCTATTGAGGTAAGCGTGGGATATTCAATCAGTCTATCATCACTTCCAGATGATTTGGTTCTCTTCTGTTTCAAGAAAAGATCAGACGAAAGATTTCATGCTGTTTTCACTTGAAACATGTGCATTCTTCAGAGGTGGGACAAAAATTCTTCAACGAATTCCTTTATATTCTTTCTTTCTTACTTGATATTTCGAAGATTTTCATAGTTTTGTTTGTGTTGTGAAGTCAAATGATTGTCAATTTAAATAGATCAACAGTTTATGTTGATGGAATAAGTAGCTACAATGATTCAATTGAAATGATCAGCAAAGATTTACGAGAACGTTCCGCAATTCAGGCAAATATCATTGTTACTATCGTTATTCTGTCGTTTTTGAGTATTAGCGGGTGGATATTTATGTCATATGCTTTATTTGGTCGTTCGGCAGCGCATAGAAGCAAGTCGGATCATTATTCAATTAGTGATGCTAATTAAACTTCCACAATTGAACCTAACAATTATTTTCAAGATTTCTGAATAGTTAATTATGCTAATGGAAGAAAGTTTTATTTTTTCGGTCTAAAATGGTAGCTATTCAATGTGATTATTATATTCATATTCAAGATTTATAACTATTATGTTTTATTTAGCGATTTAGTTGGAAATTAAGAGATGATTAACGATAAAGTATAACAAAGACTGTCAATTAATCGAACCGTTTAGTTAAACATAAATAAATAAAGTTATGTAGAAAAAGGAACAATTAACAATTTAATAAAGACTAACAATATAACAGTATAACTAAAACAAATTACATATTATGTTAGCAAATGTAAATATCTTTTTTTTCTTTTTACTTTTCAGCATTTCCACCCTTCCGGACATTCAGATCGACATTCAGAATACCATTTTGAATGAGCATAACATTGTAAACTCTCCTTACATTTCGTCAGACCAACATAGGTTTCTCCCCCACATGGTGCCCATTCAGGTAATGTTTGTTTTTGACAATACCAGTTTGACGGACAACTTGTCCGACATTCACCATAATTTTCATTTTGAATAAAGCAATATGTTCCAATAGCACATATTAATGGTTCACGCGTGTCTTTCTCCCCCCCACAACGTCCACCTAATGCAATATATTGAATGGGAATGGTGGCAACTGCAGCCATCTCTTTACCGATACATTGGGCGTAATATTTACTTCGTTTGAAACATGTCAGACCCTGTTTGCATGTTCTAGGCCCCTAAAAAACAAAAAATTAATGCCATTGCACGTAGGAATCACTAAGCATAGATTTTTAAATCATCAAAAGTATCATTCAAATATTTTTTCAATATACTAGCTATTATCTCTTGCACAGATTGAATAGCTTCCACGACGATAGCTAAGAAAGAAAAACATATACCTCGTAGTCCAATCCACCACATTGTCCGAATTCGTCTACGATTTGTGAATTTTGAGATGGAAGAACGCTGGCGCTGCTGTAATAAGCACTTAGGAGTGATGGGGGTGGAACAAGACTATTATCCATCATAATCGTTGTGATAAATCCGAATAAAATCATAAATTTCAACATTATTATAATGATTACCGATATAATGTTTGAAAGTTCAGTATTTTTATTAAAAATGAAACTCAACAGATATGGTAAATCTTTTTTATATTAAAATTAACGTAGTCCTACACTAATCAGTTCAAGAAAGTGTTAAAATTATTTTCAAACAGACAAAAATGGATCGTTTATTAATCCTCACATCAATAAGAAAAAATAGATCACATTCAACCTTGACTGTGGATTATTTCTCGCCTCAAAATCATTTAAATGTATTTTTTTTGTAAATATCTATTATTAACTTATAAAAATAATCGAGACAAGGATAACTTCCAGTTATACACCTACCACACGTCTACTGTTGTTTATTCAAATAGTACAAAGACGTCAGTCAAAATGTAACAGGTAATAACCAGATTCTCACAGGCTTTAAATCGCTTTTCATGACCAAACAAATGAACAAAGGTTCAGCTTCAAAAGACATGTCAGTTCAAAAAATTAAGAATTTCATTTGCAAAATGATTACCTAAAAAAATCATTGTAGGTAGAGATGTGCACGGGTACGATTTTCATACCCGTACCCGACCCGAAAATTTCATTTTTACCCGTACCCGCACCGTAGTACCCGTACCCGACCCGTACCCGTACCCGAAAACGCAAACGTGCTAAAACAATACATATATATAACTTTATCTACCAAAGAAAAAACTAACAATAGACAATATCAGTTTTCATTGAAATTACGCAAAAATATCAGAGAATCAACAGATTCTGGACTTAATAATTGTCTTTTAGCCTCTAATATTCTTCCTGTTCCACTAAATATTCGTTCAGCTGTGGCTGAGCTGGCTGAAATTGCTAATAATGATAGTGCTAAACGTGACAATTGTTTATAAATTATTGAACGATCTTTCCACCACGTTAAAATATTTCCACCTTTTGAATAAATGAATTTTGTTTTAATATATTCATTTATTTCATCATATGCACCTCACAGAAAAATGAATATGTCAGTTTGTTATATATTTTCTTATTTGATTTATAACTTCGAGACTAAAGCGAACTAATAACATTAGATTTCCTCGGGTATAGTCTAAAAAAATCTAACCCGTAGCCGACAACTTTGTACCCGTACCCGACGCTTTCGTATCCGTACCCAGCCTTCGGGCTTCGGGTGTTGCACATCTCTAATTGTAGGCGGATAATCGTCTGAGTGATCTACGCTACCTTGGTACTGTTATAATATAAAAATTTGAAAAATAGATTGTTTTTTTTCGAAGTTTTATTAAATACGCATGGTGAGTTCCGCTTACTAACGGCTAACCGCGTGGCATATCATAATATTAGATTTTTCAATTGTTTTTGATAGAAAGCTTACTAGTGGTAAGTGGTATAGTAAATAGTTCAAAAATGTTAAATATTCTCAGAGATATTATAAAAAGGTTTTTCAAAGGGGAACAAAGCATTTCGCGTGAAGACATAATTATTTTTTTCTTTAAGTCAAATAGTCGATCTCAAAACTGTGTATCATTTGCATATTTTGGATAAGAATCAAGTTCAGTTCCAGTGAGATGAGAGTCTCACCTCACTGTGTCTCACCGTGAGACGCAGTTTAGATGGAGTAGGACAAAAAATAGTTATCATGTTTGTACGGCTATAGTTGGGCTTGCTTCATACAGAAACTTGATATTAATAATCAATCAACCTTTTCGCCAGGTGGCACCAGTAACTAAAAATTTTAGCTACGGAATTCGATAAAGACATAAATATAGCTGAGGCCTTTTGCGTGTTACTGAGAACATTCTACAACGGTAAAAGAAAAATAATTATTAAGTCCACTTGGGAGAAAAAGAAAAATGACAAATATCGGAATATAGACAATATGTACAAAGATTAATCTAATTAATATTAAGTTTAATTACTAGACTTTTCCATTATCTTTTCCGTTAGTGTTGGCTAAAATAAAAATAAGTCTTATAACCAGTGTTGATTAAGACGAAGAGAAAGATTACACACACTCACCTCTAACCTAGAGAGAAAATTTTGAAAGAAGCTTTTTATTCGAAAACCGAGTGTTGCTATTCAACCCAGTTCTGTCTGCTGATCTCAAATATGTTATTAATTTTTGCTTGGAAACATAAAAGAAGGAAAAAAGGGCGCAAAATAACTGGGATGGCGAAGGTTAGAGGTGAGTGTATAATTTTTCTGACAAAAGTTTCACCTACGTTTTTTGGAACCATAGGTTTCCATGATTATGATGTAAATTGAATGCAGATTCTATAGTAGTAAGGGCGATTCTTAGTTCCTCATCCTCGTACTTCTACGTATGTTTCAATAGTGGATGCTCATTGTGAATGATTTCTCGAAGTATACAATAGGTATCCTTCATACTTTGGCTAGATAGTCTACAGACACTTTAGAGTCTTTGGTATAAATTTGAAGTCAAAATGATGCTCTGAGGCTAGCTATCATAGTAGCATGGTTCTTGAGTTCCAGGGATAAACCTACTTTTGTGGAGTACCGTATCGAATAAAAGTATAACTTATTTATGTGTATAGACATAGTTCCTATAAAACGTCCAACATCATGTTAGTGAAGCGATCATGGAGTTCTAAAAACTATTCATTCAATTTAAATACACAGAATTCAACAGGGTGATGCCAAAAGATCTGCAACTACGAATTATTGAATGATAAAAACACTTATTGGGCTCTAATTATTTTTTTGAATAAATAAACTGATGCCACGGAACCCTACAAAAGTACGTTCATCCGTGTAACTTAAGGATCATGATAACTAATGTCTGCTGATTTTGTTTGATCATATGAAAGCTGATCACCCTTCAAGCATGAGGCTCTTTGATTAGATGGTTCGAAAGATAT